AACCCACGAACCGCGAGATCATGACCTAAGCGAAAGTCGGACGCTTAACCGACTAAGCCACCCAGGCGCCCCGATTTTATTTTATTTTAAATGTTTTATTTATTTGTGAGAGAGCGAGAGAGAGAATGCAGGTGGGGGAAGGGCAGAGAGAGAGGGAGACAGAAAATCCAAAGTGGGCTCTATGCTGAGAGCAGACAGCCCAAGGGGGCTCAGACTCACAAGTCGTGAGATCATGACCCGAGCCAAAGTCGAATGCTTAACTGACTGAGTCACCCAGTCACCCCCTTTAAGATTTTATTTTTAAGTAACCGCTACAGCCAACACGGGGCTCAAACTCACCACCCTGAGATCAAGAGTCACAGACTCTACTAACTAAGCCAGCTGGGTACCCCAAGAAGAAATCATTTTGGCAGCTCTTTCTGTCCATGGGTCCTGTCCCTGTGCTTTAATAAAATCAGCTTTGTGCACCAAAAAAAAGAGGGGGGGGAGAACTATTTTAAGGTCTTTCACACACACGCGCACACACACACACACTCATACCTAAAGCCAGTATCTTAATTAGTGTAAAACACCATAAGTATCCCTGATAAGATCAGAAACACGGTAAGGAAGTTCACTATCTCTACCACCATTAACTCTCTGTTTAACAAAGTTTAAAAAAATAAATCGGGGGGCACCGGGGTGGCTCAGTCGGTTAAGCGTCCGACTTCAGCTCAGGTCATGATCTCACGGTTCGTGGGTTTGATCCCCGCGTCGGGCTCTGTGCTGACAGCTAGCTCAGAGCCTGGAGCCTGCTTAGGATTCTGTGTCTCCCTCTCTCTCTGACTCTCCCCTACTCACACTGCACCCCTCTCTATCTCAGAAATAAATTAAAAAAAATAAATAAATACATAAATAAATCGGGCACAAGTAGAAAAGGGAAAGAAAAACTATCTTCTCTATTTACAATAATATGACAGTATTCTTGGAAAATCTGAAAGAATCAATTCTAAAACTAACATAAGTAACAAAAAATTCAGAATATAAAATTAAAATACTAAAACAATAATTTTCATATATACAAACAGTAACCAATCAGAAGATATAATGTCAGAAAAAGCCCCATTTATAGCAACACTTAAGACAAACTTAATGAGGGGCTCCTGGGTGGCTCAGTCGGTTGGGCCTCCGACTCTTGATTTTGGCCCAGGTCACGATCCCAGTCATGAGATTGAGCCCCATGCTGGGTATAGAGATTACTTAAAAATAAAACCTTAAACACACACACACACACACACACACACACACACACAGAGTATGGAATTGGAGCATGGGTAGACAGAGACCAATGACACAGAATACAAGACCAAAACTAGACCCAAATACATATGAAAATATAGACTGACAAAGACGACAGCTCAAACCATTGGGAAAAAAGATGAACTTCTCAAGAAATGATGTCAGGACAGCTGGACAGCACCTTCTAAAGTGAGTTTGTACAATTTTTTTGAGGCCTCACAGCATGTGTCTCCCAAGATGAACCCTAATTCCCCCACCTAGGGTAGCTCTCTTTTTTTTTTTAATTCTTTTTTTTTAATGTTTTATTTATTTCTGAGAGAGAGAGAGAGAAAGAGGCAGTGTGAGCAGAGGAGGGTCAGAGAGAGAGGGAGATACAGACTCTGAAGCAGGCTCCAGGCCCTGAGCTGTCAGCACAGAGCCCGACGTGGGGCTCGAACCCACGAACCATGAGATCATGACCTGAGCCGAAGTCGGATGCTCAACCGACTGAGCCACCCAGGTGCCCCCCACCTAGGGTAGCTCTCTTAAGGGCTGGACCAGCAAAATCACACACACATATATAAATGCAGAGACCAAAAAATACAAAAACACTAATTCACAGGGATACATGCACCACTATGTCTATTGCAGCATTACGAACAATAACCAAACGATGGAAGACCAAGTGTCTACCGACAGATGAATGGATACAGAAGATGTGGCGTCTATATAATGGAATATTACCCATCCATTAAAAAAAA